GCCAAGTTGTTAATACCCCTGGACCCCAAGATGGCATTAGTCAGAAGAACATGCTTGTAGCCAGAGTCTAAAATACTTAAAATTCTCTTTACCATTGAAGAAGGTTATTTGTAAGATCACAAAAGGTAAAAGTGCCCAAATGACTGAGAACCTTTGATTTTACAAATACTGGCCAAAAAGTCAGGCCTCACTAATTTTAAATTGTTCAGAACTTTTCACCAAACCTTTGTTACTAATGAAAAAATTTCTTGTTATTCTGAGCCCTCTTAGTTTGTAGGTTAGTAATCTTAAATTTTTATTTTCTCTTCATCTTTGTGTTGTAAGTTGGGATTTGTCCTACAGTACATTGTAATTTATCCTGCTGGAGACTTGGTGTGCTCCTTCATTCTGAAGACTAGTTTTTTCTTCTTCACCCTGGAAACTTCTGTTGTTAGTTCTTGATTATTGTCTCCTCCCATGTTTCTCTTCAGTTCTTTCAAAAACTACTTTTGCTTGAAGAGAGCGTCTCATTCTGCCTTTGCCTCTTAACAGTTTCCGCTTTGCTAATTCTTTTAGCTTTCCCTTTGAGCATTTCTTTCATCTAATATTGTTCTTTTTCTTTTGGATTTGTTTCTAGTTTGGATTTTTGCTATTCTTGTTTGCTTATGGTTTATTGGTTAAAGCTCCTATCAGTTTGTTCTTTATCTTTTTTTCCTCTGGTGTGGGGAATTCTCCCTCAATTTGGAGAACAAGTGGGGCTCTTGTCTTTCACAAGGTTGAACTAACTCCTGTGTCTTGGGTTTTATACCTTTTCTGTAAATGTGCCTTTTAAAGAGTTTTGGAGGTTTGTGGAGGCCTTCCCATGGGATAGTTGAACACTTGGATTTTCCTGGCTTCCCACTGCATGTAGGGAGCCCAGTTCAAGCTCTCTGCCTGCTATAATTGGGGTCTGAACCCTCAGCTTCCAACACTATTGACTGGAAAATTCTATCCCCCAAATCGTACATCGTTGTGTACCCTATTGGGTATCTCTAAATTCTTTCACTGTTTCTGGCATGTAGAAGTTTCACCCATTTATGATTTTACATCCACTTCAATTTACAAAAGAAGAAAATGAATGCAGTCTTGTGCTACATAATGAGGTTTCTCTCACTGAGACCTGTGTATGCAGTAGTGGTCCCCTAAGATGTGGAGCTGAAAAATCCTTATCACCTACTGACACTGTAGCCATTGCAAGCAACATTGTAATGCAGCACATACTTTTCATTTGTGGTGATACTGGTATAAGCAAACCTACTGCACTGCCATGGTTTAAAAGTATAGTACGTACAGTTATGTACAGTATAATACTTCATAATAGATAGCTATGTTACTGGTTTTGTTTAGAGAACATTCCTATTAAAAAAAAAAAACTAAAACAGTATGTTGGCAGCAGCCTCATTTTTCTTGTGTTTTTTCATCCATCTGTAGACTGCATTCAACATTGGAGCATTACAGGAGTAACTTGTAAATATCTAAGGGCAGGTATTATAAATTCAGTTGGAACCAAAGTAGCTTCCTCTGTTCTTCTTCCCTAGATGGTATGATCTTTACCTCTATGCCTGTACCTCAGTATTAGCTATGTCTACAGTCTGGCTTACTCTTTTCTCCCTGCATGTAGCTTTGCTAGCCTGACTGCATCAGTTAATGGACTGTTTACCTAGAGTGGATTTCTTATCTACCTTAGTTGTCATTGCCATATGTGAGTCAGGAAAGTTAGTCATATGGTGAAGGGCCCGGTCCACCGTAGTAAGCTTCTCTTAAAAGATTGGGGACTGGGAGGTTGTGCACTTTGGAACAGAAACTGCAACAGACTAAGGTCAGAGCCTTTAGCACTAAGTCTGTAGACTCGTCCCTTCAAATAGATGTTGCTCCATTTAATTGACACTCTTCTAGAATGTGGTTAGACTAACTACAAATTCATGTCTCTACCATAAAACTTTTTTGCTCTTGCTCTGTAAAGATATGAAGAGAATGATGATGTTTGTTGACATTTGGATTTACCATTTCTGGCCTTCCATGATGTATTGTTGGCAGTAATGGTCCCCTCACTGGCTGCTTTGTGAAATCTGTTTTGGCTCCTGATGAGCACCCTACCCCCCATAAATCTGCTCCCTCCTAAGAAATTAAACAAGTTCAGAATCTAGGTCATAGACTTAAAAGTTTTGTGTATTTCTTCTCTTTCTTCTTTTTTTTTTTAAACCAGTGGGGCATTCTTATTCTTCTGATGTCTTTTACATTGTATAGCAGTTGAATAGTGTCCAATGTTAGATACTGGGGCTTCGAGAATGTCTTGTTAAATCCAGGAAAGTGCTGGTTGCTAAGCTTCCTGGAACCCACAAAATAAGTGAGAACAGCTAATTCTTCATTGACTTTATACTTACTTAGTTCTGATTAAACCCAGTTCTTATTTATGATGATTTGTGGTGTTTTATCAAGAAATGCTAATCTCTTAAAAGACCATTTCAATTTTTGGGAATGTGAAAGGGACACTTTTCCTGTGTTGGCTCACTGACTGACTTCTTTCTTGATAGGGACAAGCTGTGGGGGGCCTGTGTCTCCATCCTGGCTCTCCTGCCTCGAGTTCTCAGGTTGATGCTGCAGAGCCTGCGTGTGAACAGAGTTGGGCCTGAGGAGCTGCCTGTTGTGGGCCAGCTACTTCGCCTGCTGCTTCAACACGCACCCCTCAGGACTCACATGTTGACCAATGCTATCTTGGTACAGCAGATCATCAAAAATATCACGGTAAGAAGCATAACAAGAGGAGGTTCATGGGACAGGTAAGGGTGGGGTTCCTGCACCTGGATTGGCTTCTATAGTTAAGCCCAGTGTGGTGATTGCTTAGGGCTTCCCTGCTGTACAGCACCTGACTAGGACTTAACTAGTACTTTAAGCCTTAAAGTACACACACTTAATGAAGGTGGCACCAGGAAGTTTCCAAAAAGGTAGTGGTCATCAGAGTCATTCTTACTTGGACTCTGTTATGTAACTGGGATCATTTGGCAATTTTTTCCCCTCTTACCCGAACAGGCTTGTTTTCTTGTCTGTCAAAAATGGAAGTAATGTCATTTTTTGTGTGCCTTTGGGTTTTGGTGACCATAAATGAGATTATCCAAGTACCGTATTTAGTTTACCTGACATTTTTTTGCTCACTAAATGTTAGCCGACATTAAGGAAATTCTTTAGTAGCAACTTAAGGCTGATTTCTAGTCACTTAGTTCATTGGATAGGAGGAGATAATAATCAGATCTGCCTCCTTGGTGGCTCTTGCCTTTAGCTACATCTGTTTTGGGAGGTAGTTTTATCTTCTAGGGTTCCTTTTGTGTTTTTGTTTAAGAGGGTTAAAAGGTGTTTTGCAGAGGTGTTTGGGGTTTATTCATTGGGACATACAATCTGTTATGTTTTGGAGTAGTGTTTATAGGAGTAATGAAAATAGCAATGGCATAATTCAGAACCGTAGAAGGAAAGAAAAGTCAAGAATTTGAATTATTCCCTTATGGGAGAATCAGCCTACCTCTTGATAGACAAAAATTGTCAGAATTATTCTCAGTTGTTGTTAATGCAAGATCATGAGACACTAGATGACAAAGGGAGGGAATCACGGGTATAGGAGTGGTTGATGGTGAAATTTCATTAGTTCTCAGCATATACAGTAGGAAATAGGCTAATAAACCAGTAATACCTGAGGGCATAACTGACTGGGAATTTTCAAGGTCTGTGTTAATGCCCAATTAGTAGTTCCTTTTTTTTTTTTTTTTTTAAATAGGTAGGGGATACTGTTGGCTAGGCTTTGAGAAATCATGTTTTGGTGTGAAAAGCACTGTAAGGTGACTTTTAATATAATTCTCAAATTACTCTTGTTTTTCTCTGCAGACACTGAAGAGTGGAAGTGCTCAGGAGCAGTGGCTCACAGACCTACATTATTGCTTCAGTGTGTATATCACTGGGCATCCCCAAGGGCCCAACGCGTTAAGTACAGTGTATTGAAGAGGCGTTGTGGTACTTGCTGTTTGAAATTGTTTATTCACATGTATCTTATTTTGAAGAGAAACTGATGTAATAAATGTTTGTCATTAAAGCTAAACTTTTAAAGAAGTTTTTGAACCTTCCTTTGCAAAGCAATGTTTGTGAGTTCCCATTGAAGCTCAGGTGTTCTTCGAGCTAGAATGTGTTTTCCCTGCCAGCAATAGAAGGCATTTTGAGAAGCTTGTTCACCTCTGTAAGTTGGTCAGAAAGTACAAGTGGGATGTCAAGTCCTGAGCTGGCACCTTGGTACATGAGACCTGGCTTATAAACCCTACCTGACTGACTCCTTGATCCTGACAGGCTGGTGGTGCTAGGCAGTGAGGCGGCCATTCAGAGAGGACATGGCCCCAATCTGTGGCCTTCAGAAACTAACATGGGAACTGGAAAATGTAAGGAGTCAACAGAATGTACTTAGTTCTTTTTTTATGAAGTTTCTAAATGGAAACACTGGGACATAATTCTGATGTAAAATTTAGGACTGATAATGTTGGAGTAATAGGAGGTGGTATCTATCAGAAAGTTTGTTTTAGTAGATTCCAGGCAAGTAGAAAGATGAAGATGGCTGCTGGGGGTGTAGAGAGGGAGACAGGTTCCCCGTCTCATTTAGGTTTATCACTTGAATCAGGAAATGAGGCCTCTAGTAGCTAGCTGTTAGAAATCCCAGCCCGGCAGCCCCTGCAGTGCTCACCACCCTAGTTTTTACTTAAGTTACTGATAATTATTCATTTCTAGCTGTGCTATGATGAAGGCACACAGCTGGGCAGTATGCATGGACATAGTCCTGGTCATCTCAGTGTAGGCTGAGATGATTTACAAATTAGCACTTGTAAGAGCAGAGGATATTTTCTTTCAGTTATGACATTTTCAAGGTAATAAGGCTTTAGGCATGGATATTAAGTTTTCCCAAAATGTAAGACAGTCCATCAACAGAGAATCAGAATTGCATAGCTATTCACCTTTCTCCACAGGCCATCAAAGCTTTGGTTTGTTTTTTGATTTTGCAGCTGATTGCAGGTTATAAGAAAAGTTCTTCGATCTTCCGCTGTTCTCAAGGAGATGTATGCATTGCAAATTGCTCACTGTTAAAAACAAATACCAGATAAATAGTCAAGTTAATTTTAGTGCTGAAGGGAAGACTTCCTTGATGCTAAGGGAAAAGAATTTAAGTTTGTGCTATCCCTGGAGCCAAATAAGTTGATGGGCCAGTGTACTTCAGAGGCAGGGTGATCACTGGCCTTGCATTTCTCCTCCTCTCAAAAATATGGAACATTTCTTGAAGGAAGCACCTGCATTGGGAGGGAACAGGTGTTTTAAGGAGCTGGGACTGGAACTTTTGGTCTTAAATCTACCTGGAATAATTAGTGTTCTCTCGTTGTGTCTCATGACACAGTGCATCCTTACTCATATTCATGTACCATCTTTTAGTTCCCTTTCCTTTTTGTTTCATAAGATTTGAAACCTATTCATGTTCCTGAAGGTTGATAGACTAATAGGCATATCAAACTCAAAATGGTTATTTTAAGAGGACTTTTTATGACTTTGAAATAACAAATTTGTAGGCTACCACAGTCAGAAAACATGATAACTGACAAATGAGGATACTGAGAACTCATGGTTGGGAGAACTTGCTGCAGCCATATTGCTATATTTTGCTCTTAACCCTGGAAATATAAAAGCAAATATGAGGGGTAAGTTTTAAAAAGTATAGAACATGTCTTTATTTTTCTCTCCTGGTTTTACAACTGCAACAAAATTATTTTTAAATGAATTAACTGCTTTTGGAACTCCTGTATTTTTGGCTACCCTCAATATAACTGAAATTATCACCTGCATACCCCTGTACAAGATGGCAGAATATACTGGATTCAAGCAGGAGTTCCATTAGCAATGTTCATGTAAGCTATGATATTCCATTCACTGGTGTGGAATGTTACAGGAAGCTCTTTCATTTTTAAAGAAATGATCCCTGGTATGTATGTGTCAGTAATAGGCTATGTTGATAGTCTTTGTGGGTGGTTTGCAGCAGAACTGTGAAAGACAGAGGAGAAAGCAGGGAGTTTATCTGTCTCCTAAATGGATGTAGGGCAATAGCCTACAGAGACTGCATTTTGATATATTTTTTCTGTTTCTTCCTTTTTGAAGTGGTAGAAGAATTATAAAACTTCAGCATGGCATCTCCCTAAGCCAGAGGGCAGGAACAACATATTCAGTCATCAAATAGTTAACCATCTACAATGCACCAAGTAATTTTCTGGAAGTGAACAGAAATAGGCAAAATCAGAAAATTCCTAGCCCTATTGGATTCTCAAGGCAAGAAAATTGATTTTTTTTTTTTTTTTTGGTGCTGAGTATCAAACCTAGTGCTTCATGCATGCTAGGCAAGAGTTCTACCATTGAGTCACATCCCCAGCCCTGAACTAACATTTTTAATTCAAAGTGAAGACCAAAGTTAATGTTCTCTCTTTTAGTTTAATTTGTTACTTGATTACAAAATTCACAAACTTGTGTATATATCCAAGCCACACTCACTTTATGGATATTATTTCATTTGTAGACATGTTTTCTATATAAAACAGACTACAGCTAAACTGTACCTAGTAGCTCTGCTTGACCAGCTTCATTAACTGGTTGATGCTTCATGTAGGTGGTTTAGCCTTGACAAAACCTATGTTCCCTCCAAGTTCAGGGTAGGGAAAGATTCTCTTTACTCTTGTCTGATTTCAAACCAGTCAGAAATGTGTGTAGGACAAACAAGATGCTTATTATGTAAAGTCCTAAGAAACCATTAAGATCTTTGAATTTGTTTACTCTGTACCCTCACTAAAAACCTTTCATAGGCATTCGTTGTTTAAGGATTTCTGGCAGTACTGGATTTGCTTTTCTCTTAAGTCAGAGTTAAAACTGATCTGATTATCTTTACTAATATTATATAGATGAAACTTTCTGGTAGTTCTGACAGTTCTGTTGAAATATTCTTCAGTCAAGAAAAAAGAAGGCCTTTTTACATAGAACTGTGAGGTTTGAGTACTTTGAAAGTTTTTACTATCCCACCCACCACTTCCCTGATCAGCCTGCCTGGGTTACATGAGTTACCTAACTTATTAAAGGTTTGGCAGTAATTACTCTGTCCCCCCCACCTCCAGATTTTCCCCTTATCAAAATCTAAATGAATGCTAAAGTTCATGCTGACAGTCATTGTTCACCTTCCCAGCTGCACTCTGTTCCTGCAGGATGACTGTGTGGATCAGGGTCAGGGCCATGGGTTGCCATAGCCACTGTGAGATACACTGGACCTGGCATTAGCTGCTGACAGCACTGAACTTATCACCCATTTTTAATGCTGGCGTGAAGGAAGGGGCACTAAGTAAACTCTCTTGTCTTGTGGCTGCAAAGAAAGCTGCTGAGCTCTCGAATGAAAGTGTACCTTTGAGCCTGAGTGCAGTGTCCTGTTTATGGTGCTCTTCCCACTTTTGGCAAGGAAATGGAGGATCTTCTTGACACCAAATGGGCCAAGGACTTCCAACATTGATTTGAAGAAAGTATTTTTGTAATATGAAAATGTAAAAATGATTAGTGATAGCTACCATTTATTGTTTCTACTGAAGATAATGTTAATAGCTTTTAGTTGTGAAAATAATTTGTCTCGGGCTGGGGATATAGCTCAGTTGAGAGTGCTTGCCTCACATGCATAAGGCTCTGGGTTCTATCCTCTGCACAAAAAAATAGTAATTTGCCTCAGAGACATATATTGACTGTGATAATACCATAAAAGGGGGATAAGAAAACTGCATTCTTGAAATGACTTTGGAAACCCTGGCCACCTCTCTTCTAATGATGTCTCCTGTATTTGGGAATGAAACAAGAAAAACCCTTCACATGTTCTCTCCCCCTGCTTCATGATGCCTTACCTGAATTGAGATGCAGAGCAGGAGGGGCTCTGGAAAGTCTTGTAGGATGATGTACTTTTCCTTCCAGAGAACAACCTGAAATCAACCAACAACAGTCATCTATCTTTGACCAACAGCAGTGGGGCCTGACCAAATTATGAATTCCTTATTGAGGAAAGGGCTTGAGCTACCAAGATACAGTAGGTATGGCATGGAAGTGCAGATTGTTCCTTAACTGAAATGTTTGGGAGCAGCAGCTTTACAGATTTAGGGGCAATTGTATAGACTTTACTGGATGGGCATTCCTAATCTCCGATCCCAAGTCTGAAATTTGGGACTGCTCAATCTGTATCATGTAGGTTCAGAGCCAAAACCTGAGATTTTGTTGCAAGAACTACACAAGATCTTTCTTGGCTTTTCTGGTGGGGAGTTAGCCAGAACTGTTTTCTGCTAAGTTTATTTGGATGAGCTCTTTCCAGAACTAAAAATGCTTCTGTTTACAGCAATTTATCTGCTGAACAAGTATTCACTATAGTGGATGGATCTCAGGCATTCCATAGATGAGCAACCCTATACTACCTTAACATAGGAAAGGTCAAGGCAAAGCAGACAAGGTACGAGTCTGGAGTTGTCCCAGTGGGTAACGTAAGTTGGGGAATACTCGAGCAGAGCTCTGGAGAGGTTCAAAGGATGAGACTGTCAACCAGGGAGCCTAGTGAAGACTCTTTGGGGAGGCTCTCTGAGCTGTGATGCTAGCTAGAATGCCTCATGAGACCAAGTATGACCCAGAATTGCTGGGAGGCAATAAATGGGGTGCTAAAATTTTATGCTCAGAAGTAGAATAAGGAAGCTTTCTGAATGGTGGTGTGCCCAGTGTAATTAAATCCTATTTCAGATTCTGCCGTGGCACTCTGAGGGTGGCACTCAGATGGTATACTACATAGCCCAGAAGGACATTTACCATAAATCTGCTTGAGCACTGAGTGCCTGGTAGACTTGGTGCCTGAGATGCCCTTGGATGGGCTCTTGGGAACCCTGATGACTGCCACAGTCTTTGGGAGCTTTACTTCCAGTTCTCTTCTCCAAACCTGGAGGAGCAATGATGTGCACTCACGGCTCCATTTGTGCCCGTCTCCAGCTCCAGGCTGCTTCCCGTGCAGCAGGTGGGACAGGTGCTTTCTGAGCCTGTAGCTGGTGGGGCCAGAGGAGAGGAGAGGCTTAAGGTCACAGTATAAAGAAGAGCAAACTTTCAGGTTCCTAGAAGCTTTAGGAACAGTACTTGTGAAACTCCTGATTTCAAAGGTGGCATATTGAATTTGAGTTCTATCTCTTCCCATCATGAAATACTAATGGAACTAGGATTCATCAGATGAGTCTTTGCCCTCAGGGAGAAACACTATGCTGGGCACATGGGGACAGATGTGATGGTTTGGTAGGCTTCCCAGGCTGCTGTGCACTGTGCTGTGTGTAGGAGCTTCCCAGGCAGAGGAGGGCACTCTGGGCAGCAGAATCAGCATAGACGGACGTGAGCTCACGCTGGCTGCACTGTGGAAGGAGCCAGCATCTGTTGAAGGCCTGCTGCATTCCAGGCACCCTTCCTGTGATTTAAGGGGCTGTGAGGCAGACCTTCCAAGGTTCAGAAAAGCAGAGTAACTTACAGAAGGTGACATGGCTAGAGCCAGCAGAAACCAACATTCTGAATCAGTACTATCTGGCCCAACTGCCAAACACTGCTAAGGACTTTGTCTGATTTCCATACATAATGGAGGGACTCACAAAGGGTTAAAGAAGAGTGGCAGCCAGGTGCAATGGTACATGCCTATAAAGCCAGTGATTTGGGAAGCTAGGTCAGGAGAATAAGTTTAAGCCCAACCTGGGCAACTTAGGGAGACCCTGTCTCCAAACAAAAAGGCTGGGGACATAGCTCAGCGGTAAAGTGCCCCTGGGTTCAATCTGCAGTACAAAAAAAAAAAAAAAGTGGCAAAGGTAAAAGCTGCTTTTTTACTAAGAACATTCCGCTGGGGAGTGGAGCTTGGAGTGGGGAAAGATGGGCAGAGGAATGATGGCAGTGTTTACATCTAGTCTTTACTTGATGGTTTTTATCCCACGTGTACCCAAACTTACTGACAAGCGCAACTGTTTGGAACCCTGTGAGGGAGAGCTGCATCCGTGTACTGCATCGACTACTCCCAGTGAGCCTAGAGGAGCAGCAGGCCCATGCGTGATGCTAGGACACACCACACGGGAGAGAGTCTTCCCAAGTCTGCTAAATATTTGCAGTGCTTGGTGCAGCCCTGCCTCCTTTACCAAAGGCTGATTTCGGCAACCAACATGGTTCTTCCTTTCTTTTCCTGGAGAGTGACAAATCATAGTGTCCCTCAACTAGAATATGTCCCACCTTTCTAAATGGCCAGTATTAAGAGAACTAGAGAGATGGGGCACTGCTGTTCCATAATGGTTTCTTACGTTAGAGGTGTTGGGTGTCTCCCCACTCTCTGCGCTTTGGGGAGGCCCAGGTACTGGTTGAGACTGTGGGGAGCTTCAGCTTTTAGTGGACACAGCTCCCCCGATCAGCTCTGGTATGGAGACTGGATCGGCATCCAAGAAACTCTTAAGGTTCTTGGGGCAGAGGAACAGGCCTCATTCTCCCTCTTTCAGGAGAACAGATGCCCCTGGACTGTGGGAAATTCAAACATGCCCCATAGTCCATGGGGTCAGGGCTCTTCCTGCTGTCCAGTCTATCCTTGCTTCTTTATCTCAGAATATACTGGAGAGAGCGGACAGAAAGGGGCTTCCACATATTAGGTGATGTTTTAAACAGCAGCTTTCCAGCTTAGCCTGTCCAGTACTTGATTTTAGTTTTTATAGTAGTCAAGTCTTAATTGGTAATAAAACTTCACACTAATTTTCAGACTAGGTTTCATTTTCTTGAGGTCCAAGGTCAATCTGCTCACCCATTGATGCCTATTTTCCAGCTCACTTTCTCCGTCCTTTTCATGTCTCCTATAAAGACAATCCATTCATTGAACACTAAGTGCCACGACCTATCCCCTATGCTGTCCCTCACCATTCCTTGTTTTGGTGTCAGACACACAGTTCCAGGACAGCACTTTGGGGTCCTATAGTTAAAATGGAAAATATAGTTAAAATATAATAGAATCAACAAAAGTGTTTTCACCCTCCAGATGTGGTACTCCACAACATGTGGCATCCCAGAGGCCCTTTGGGAGTTGATGTTTCTGAGAATTGCACAATGGTGCAGCCAGAGGGGGCCTGGGTAATTGCCCTTCCAGATGGGCGCACCAGACTATGAGCCCACTGTTTCTGTGAGGAATGACTGAAGGCTCATTTGCTAGTCTGGATACTTACTGACAGGACCTGTCAGCTCCTGACTCTTCAAAGAAGTCAAAGAACATTCTGGGAGGGAGACATTTCAACTAGGGAGCAGCTGTGGGGCCTGGGGAAGCAAACCTTGCCAGCTTGTTTAGCTCCCAGATGTCAGCCAAAATAATTTAAAAAGTCCCTCCTGATGGTAGTGCCTGTCCTAGTGTAGCTTCCCAAGGAGGGGAGCAATGGACGTTCCCTTCTGCAGCTTCAGAGGGAGACTCGACCCAAAGTCAGCATTGGCATCTACTAGCTCTATAGTGTTAAGCTGATTAACCTCTTTGTGCTTCAGTTTCCTCATCTGTGGAATGGGGACAAAAATAGTAACTACCTCAGAGGGTTAATTGTGAGGATAGAATTAATATCTATAAAACTACTTTGAACAGTACTTGCACAAGTGCCCAATAAATGTTAAATAACTTCTAGTATTAACAGTGGCAGATATAACAGCATCACTCCACGCTTGGGACTGAACCCTCGGTGTGTGTGGGTGTGTGTGAGCACTTCCAGGCAGCCCTTTTCTAGCCTGCTCTCAGGTGAGGAGCAGGAGGCTAGCCTCCACTGCCACCATCTTGACCACAGCAAGAACTCACTTTAATGTCAGGGGAAGGCCCTCCAGTGTGAGTCAAACGGAGATTCAAATGCTGGATGTGCACCACAAACACAGCTCATTTTTCCTGAATGGTTTGCTTTTCTAAAATACAGAAACCCCCATGTCTGTCATGATGGTCTTCTGGTGTGGCTGGGAGCTCCCATGTGCTTAAACAGACATGAGTACACATTATTCCAAGCTAGACCAGATCGGCCAGCTCTGGGTCAGGCATTCTTTGGCGTGATATTCCCATTGGCCTCTCCTTGGACCTCCCACAAATCCATCTTGCTCTCTTCTTTCTCAGCCAATAGTAGTGTTCTCTGGGCCTCTTCTTTCTTTTTCTCTGGGCGTGGGCCTGGAGACTTGGCACACTGGACTTGTAGAGATTCACTTGCTTTACCACACCATCAATCTTCCTCTCCTCAGAGATGGAGGACATGTAACTCTCACCAGTCAGCGATGGACCAGACCTTCCCTGGTCACTGTCATCACTGTAAGGCCTAATATGGACTGAGGCCCAGAGGGGACCTACAGTGTGAAGGAGATTATGAGACAAGTGGAGACTTGTAGCAAACGACCTTTGTGGTCCTCTGGAGAGGTGTCTGTCTCTATCATACTGGGACACTGCCCCAGCCTCTTAGGATAGCCTCCATCCCAACTCCCAGCATCTAACCTGTACTGAGCTTGCAGATGCTCAAACACGTTTACATAATAAGTTTCAGACACTTCACTATATCCAAACCTTGGTTTAGGCATTTGGACTAATTTAAAAAAAAAATATGTGTGTAGTGCTAAATGCTTTAGAATTCACAAAGCACACATTATTTCATTCCAGTGACCTACCATATAAACAGGATAGGTGCAGCAACTGTTAAATCCTGTTTTACTGATGAGAAAACTGAGGATCAGGGAGGCCAAGTAGTATGTAAATTACTAGGATATACATGTGTGAATTTCATGTCCAGCTCCATAAAATTGGCCTTACGATGCCCTCACATGGAATTAACTGAAAAATATCAAAGCACAGAAAGAACCAAAGAGGTGGCAGCCCTTCACACTCCTACCTTCGCCAGGCACGCTGGATGATGGTGGCTGCCTTGTTCTTTTTGCGAAACAGCTCTTTCCTAGTCCTTTCTCTCTGGATTATCTGCAGTCGGAGCTCTACAGGGAGAAGGTCAATATTCACACTCTGCCCAGAGAGGGGTCCAGATGCTGGATCAATGTCCTTAGATACCTGAGCATCCTCAGACAGGGTAGATGTCCCCAGTTTCCTGGCTCCTGACCTCATCTCCTCTGTGCTCTGTGGCAAATCTGAATAGACCCCTCCTGGGAGCTTGTCCTGTGTCTCTCTGTTTCTTGGTGTGCGATGGTGGAGAGGATTCTGCCCAGCATGAACAACCTCCCCCTTGGCACTGCCAGGCCGGCTGGAACCAGCTGGGGAGCACCTTCCTCTGAGCTCTTGAAGGCGCCTTTTCTGGGGGGGATTTCTGGCCTTGGGGACTGCATCATGCCGCCTGCCCGGCTTCCGGTGGCCGTCCTGCTGTGGAAGGTCCTCTCCTTTCTCATCAGGCCCGGCCACCCTGACACAGGAGGGCTGCTTCAGTGCGCCTTTGCCCCTTTCACACGGCTGCTCACCAGCCGTCTCGCCTCTGGTCTTCTCAAGCGAGGAGACTCCCAGACGCCTGTGTCCCTCACTGTCTTCACTGGGTCTGTTGTGGACACAGGCAGAGTGGCCTTTAGAATGGTGTTCACTGGATGTTTCTTGGAGAGACAAAAAGGGGAAGAATATTTTTTGTCTAAAATTTACATAATAGGGCAATTCTAGTTTTCCATGGGAATTTGAAACCAAAGTTTCTATGCCCGATGTGGATTTGGTATTTGTTCTTTTTTTATTTTATTTTTTTTACTGTTCAGATGGTTTAACAATTCCAAACACAGTGATTCCCATAAATTTTAAAAGGAATTTATAAAAAGTTTTGTATTCTATTACTTCTCCTTTTAAACACATCCGACACTTCTAAATATCTCCAATGACTAGATATTTCACACAAGAACCTGTCCACTGTGCACACAGCACTGGTAAATAAAACTGCACATGTAGCAATGGTTATAATAGGAAGTATCTTTTAATATGACCATTTTGTCCTTGAACCTTTTCCTCTTCACTTCTTTTACTTTCAGTCCAGTGGACAAGTACAGACATATGTATGATATTTATTTATTCTTAATCCATAGGAGATAATATATAAAATCTGGTCTCAGGATATGATATTCCAGGATGCCTCATAACGGCAAAGACAATATTGGTTTAGTGTGACATGTTCTCAACAGGATGCACAAAAGGGTCCTCTGAAAATGGCTTCATGGTCTGAAACACGTAATGTGCACAGGGTACAAGCTACCATGAGCAAAACGGAATGAACATATAGCAAGATCAGATCTCCCAGGATTTAGTGTACACATACCAATTGATTAAACACACAAAAGAAATAAAAAATATTAGAAAAGAATAAATATATTTGAAAAAGAACTAAGCATAAAATGTAAAATAAAAAACAATTTCAAAGTAAAAAAGCAGTGAGGGAACTTCTGCTTCTGTAATGGCAGAAGGGAGACGTGCTCTCCAATGAAGACAACAGAAATATTGTATAGAATGTTACCAACAATCCATAGGAAGGGACTGTGGAGCTAACAAGGCAGAAAAAATGAAGGACCAAGATTCAGAAGATCTCAGCAAACTGGACTGTTGAGCAAGGCATTTGGGGGTACATATCTCAAGGTCTGGGGGACAAAACATTCAGACCAGAAGCTGCTAACTGCGCTCTTTTGGATTGGGACTCAAGAGGGCTGTGCCATAGAAGCAAAGGTGATCCTTGCAGGACTGAAGCCAGCTTCGCATCATCTCCATTCTGGGAACTGGATTGGGGTGCTCCTACCTTCCAGAAGCCAATGTGAGGAAATTAATATCATCCAAGGCATCAAATTATTTCTATGTTTTTTTTTATATTTAATGTTTGACACTCAATGAAAAATATATGGGCTCATGAGAAGACAAGACAACAGAGAAAAGGAGAGGGGGAGAAGGAGAATGAATAATAAAACAGGTTATCCAATTAATATGTTCAGAAACAGACTTCAAAATAACTATTCTTAAGTGCAAAACAACAAACTATGCTACTCTTCATGTAAGAAAGAAATGAAGGTAAGAAATACCCATGTGTGCTTACTTGTGCAAAAGAAATATAGATAGCATAAACCAGCAATGAAAGAGACTGGTTTCCTATGTGGGTAGTGTGGGAAAGGGGTGGAAAGCAATTAAAACAAGATACCATCATGCACTTAGTAGAATGGCGAAAACCCAAAACACTGACAATAGCAAATGCTGGTATTGGAATGCTGCAATTCCAAATGCTGGAATGTGGAGCCGCAGGAACTTCATTTATTACTGATTGAAGTGAAAAATGATTCAGCCACTTTGAAAGAGAGTTTGGGAGTTTCCTGCAAAGCTAACACACTCTCATCACAAGATCTAGCAATTATATTCCTTAGTCTTTACCCAAAAGAGTTAAAAACTTTTGTCCACACAATCTGCACAGGGATGTTTAGATGAGCTTTAATACCTAATGGCCCAAATTTTGTGGCAGCCAAGATGTTTTTCAAAAGATGTATGGATAAATATACCGTGGCACCTCCAGACAATGGAATATTACACAACACTAAAAAAAGAAATGAGCTGTCAAGCTATGAAAAGACATGGAGGAACATTAAATGCACATTACTAAACAAAAGAAGGCATTCTGAAAATATCACATGCTGTATGATTCAAACAATCTGATGATCTGTAAAAGGAAAAATTTTGGACACAATGAAAAAGATCAATTGTCAGGGGTTAGGGGAGAGAGGGAGTAACGAGTACGTGGAACACAGAGACCTTTCTGCATAGTGAAATTACTATGTAAAATACTGTAATGGCAGATCCATGCATTATATACTTGCTTTATCTTAGGTTGAGATGTGTCTGAGATGCCCAAGTGAGGACATAAGTTAAATAACTGAATATGCATGACTAGAACAGAGAGATCAGGAAATCTTCAGTGCAAAAGTGGTAAGTGAATTTGCTGCCTCAGCCACTGTACATGTACCAAGCATAAGGACCCACTTTACTCACACCAGTCACACCCACCGGTTCTGACTGTCCATATGGTTCAGAATAAGAAAACACAAGGATTGGCACAGTGAGTTTTTCCTCAGACCCTCCTGAAAAGCACAGTGACTCAAAAGCAACTTTATCTCACCACCTCCCACAAGCAATCTGCTACCAAGTCACCTCAATTCTACTCTTCAGACCATCCTTGACTCTCACTGTGCTGCTGCTGTGTTAGTGCAGACCATGCCTGGCCCCTCCAATACTCCCCCTCAGCCAGTGATCTTCCTAAACATGACACCAGATACCTCCCCACATCATGGGTTGTGCCTTGTTTTGATTAGGCTGTGCCCTGGATGCTCTGCAAAGACCCTCCACTCTAACATTCTCTGTCTGTGAGACTGGATGGAGGAGAAAAAGAAGTGGTAGTCGCTTCCTGTGTCTGGATTCTTGCTGGGATACCCACTGTCAAGGTATATACTCCTGATCCCTGGTCAGTTAAGCAGATACACCCCTTCCTATGGGGTCAAATACAATGTGAGTTGGAATGTCCTTTGTCCACTGATTTGGGGGTTTTCTGGAATACCATGCTAGAGAGGCTGCAGTCAATGTCAGACTTGATTCCTAGAAGCACCTTCCTATTTTCCTTTGCACTGTGGGCTTTTAGGCAGGTGGTGAGGATAAAGGCTGTCCATGGGACTGGAGCTTCTGTTCCTTAGATTCAAATTGGTCTCATTAACCTCCCATCCTTCATCTGTTCCTCAAAGTCTGGATTCCTGGCTGTTTTAAGACCTTTTTGCATATTTGAATCTATTTCTTTGTTAAAGTCCATTATTCAGGGTGCCACTTCCTGCCCCTAAATGAGTGAGAAGCTCCCCTGCCTCAGAGTTGTTCTAAAACAGAAACTTGTAAAATTTTTGAAAATGATCTATATCATGAAATAAATCTTTGAGTCTCAATGTGCTCAAATACATGCACACACGCGTGCGTGTGCACACACACACACACACAAACTCACACATATATGCACTGTACTTTGATATTTTCTACCAGCAGAATAGAAATACTTTAAATCCATTAAATTCATTTCATGAGCTATCCATGGCTTGAAATTCTCTGTAAACGAATCCAGCAGATCACCTCGAGGAAGTTGAGTATCCGTGAAAAAGACAAAAGGAATGGCCATTAGAAATTGAAACAGCATGTTTTTTTCAGGATGTGGGACACACTATTAGAATGTCCTCAGGTCCAGAGTAGATCTGATTGGCCTTGCAGTGTAACTATCTCAAAGGGTTTATAATAAGGATAATAGGAATCACCAGCACCCCGTGTTATTGTAAAGAGCCTGAGATCATCCCCGCCTCCCAGTCTGCACAGCATAGGACTAGGAAGTGCAGAACTGTCTGTTTGAAGTTACAGGGATTAAGTGTGATCCTTGGGGTGGAGGGAAACTCCAGGTAACCAATGTTGTGCTCACTGCGGTAGGAAAGACGCTCATGGCAAGGTCTTTAACCTTAATTGATAGTTTAGTAGAGCTGGCACATAGTGTGGCCTCTAAAACATATCTATTTGATGAATATACACATAAGTAATTTAGAGTTTGAGTAGAAGCAAATCTTAGTTATAAAAATAGAATTCTGAAAAGAATAGATTAAAAACATGACTAGACCTTATAAATACTTTTTGTCTTATGTTTTAACGACCTTTCTTCTCTGAATCTCCAGTACCTACTTAGTATCATTCAACTATAAATTCAACAAATATTTATTTCTCGTGTGCTAGACACCCTTCAAGGCGCTAGGAATATAGAAGTAAGAGACATGTTGTGTTGCCTCCTATGACAGATTGCTTAACTTCTCCCCATGCTATGTGCATGTGCCTTTGTGATAACGTTGGTACATATGCCATCCAGAGGTAAGTCTATTTCTTCATTCCCTTGAACATGGGCTGGTGTTGTGACTTCCTCTGATCAACGGAACATGGTAGAAATGATGTAAAATTTCTGGAGTCTAGGCCTCAAAAGGCCTTGCAGTTTCTGCCTTCTCTCTGAATGCTGCTCTGAGAACAGTATATAAGGAGGATGCTCTAAACTACTGGAGAGTGAAGGGCCACACAGAGGAGAACTGAGGCACCTCAGCCGTTGGCCAGAAGTAACTGCCAAAGGCGGCCATCTTGGACTTCCCAGTTGTCAATTCTACAGCAGCCGTGAGTGAGCCCAGGTGACCCAGCAGAGGAACTGCTCAGCTGACCCACAGCAAACTGTGGTTCTTTGAGGTTACTTAGTGTTGGGGGTGGGTTTTTATTATGCCACAAAAGATAACCAACACAGAAATTGATACCTTGAAAAAACATGTACTGTCCCAACAAAACTCCCTGACAGTGACTTTGGGATTGTTTGGTGAGCAGAAGCTGGGAAGTCGATGAAGAGACTTGGTGAAGCCGGGAACCAGAGTAGAAATTGCTACTGGAGTCTGGGGAGAGGTGAACCTTGTTATCCAGTGGCAGAATAACCAGCAAAACTATCACCTGCAGTTATATAGAAAATAGAAGATATCCTAATGACCTTGCAGATATGGCTCAGGAGACTTCCTACTGGAATGATGAAGAAAATATCAGCTATTTTTTAAGTTGCAGATGACAAGAGAAAGAGATAAAGAACAAATTGCTCAGTTTGCAAATAGGTTAGAGAAAATAGGAGGAATCAGGATGTTCCAGGATAGAAAATAAAAAATAAAACTGTTCAACATTTTGACTTTTTCCAGTCAGCAAAGGAGTCTCATAATGGGATAAGGCCTCAGAGTAAAGACTGCATCAAGAGTGTGGCTATGCGAGCCTTTATTAAGACCTCAAAAATATTTAAGGTGGTGCATAGTAGGTCTTCTGAGCTAGACAAAAGAATTTTCAAAACTCTCGAAAAACTAGGGATAACAGGAACATACCTCAACATTGTAAAAGCAATCTATGCTAAGCCTCAGGCTAGCATCATTCTGAATGGAGAAAAATTGAAGGCATTCCCTCTAAAATCTGGAACAAGACAGGGATG